GAAGATGGAGGAGGGCGACCCCATGGCGATGGTGGAGACTGCGATGAAGGAGTCCAAGGAGGAAGAGGAGCAGGCACCCATGCCAGTGCAGGAGCCGTCGGTTTCCTGGTTCAACATGCTATAGGTGGAGCAACACTAGAACTAGGTGTTGGCCGAGGTGAAGGCGGAGGAGCAGACAACCGTGCCGATGCAGGAACTGCCGATGTCCGTGTTTCTGACTGCTGCAGGAGGACCTTCGGTACAACCTCTTGCTCCTAGAGGAGCACTGGCTGACGGAGGATTAGCTCGTGGTAGAGTGGGCATCCGAAGATGCCTTCGCGACCATTGTTGCGACGGACCTGGGTATCATCAATGAGAACCAGAAAGTTCTCAATTCCATGCACAACGCTTGCATCATCTGCTACAATCGTTGGTATCTCCGCGTCAACGAGATGGAGCGCAATCTTCTATTCGAGGGGTTGGAGACTGAGGACGGCGACACATCAGACCAGCACGAGGACGATGCCAACCCTACACATGTCAATAGCTCTTCCTTCTTCACGATGGCCCGCAACGACGACAAGGCCGAACCGTCTGGCATGGGGGTCATTGACCTCACCTCCGGTTGTGACGGCGAAGTCTAGGACAACGGTGATGAGGAGTATAATTAGTTTTTAGACGTTTTATTACTTGTTTTTAGGGCCTTTTACTATGTAAAATATTTTCTAAAAAATCAATGCAAAAACCGGTGTCCCTGGTCTTTTGATGCCTATGGTTGGATGACCGGCTCCTTTTCCGCTGACTGGACGCATCAACGAACATTTAGTGATGTCTATTTGGGGAGACATGAGCGTGATGGTGACTTGAGTCTCCTGAGTCACCCTAGGGAAGACACGCGAGTTAGAGGAAAACAGGATATCCTCTAGCTCAGAAGATTACAATCTTATTTTTCGAACATAGTAGGAGTCGAAGTGTGTTTACCCTAGATTCACAATATAGGAACCAAAACATGGGAAAAAACTTTCCGAGCGTCGTTTGGATGCAAGACAATAAATGTACTGGATTTGTGGACACAAGAACAACATGACGTAAGACCATATCATTTCTTGCCGGAATTTCTATGGAATAGTCCACTCTATAGGAGTTTCAAAGAAATCTAAGATATCATTTCCTTTGTCCTAAATGGTACCATCGTGTGGTTTTCCCTGTAGGAATCTTATCCTTCAGTATCCATCTTCTTACTTGCAGGATGGCTAGGGCCTATTCATGTGAAAGGCATGCACGTACGCCATTATTTGAGCATTTTCCTACACTTTGCTACGTACTAGACATGTAGTTTTCGAGATTTTTTCTACAAGATCTATTTAGGGCCTATTCTTTCATCCAAGCGGATGAACATTGCCTTACTGACTCGATAGCTGTGGCGCATCATCAATGGGGACGGCGGCCTATGGCTCCACATCATCCAGACTAAATACCTCTGTGGCCGACCCCTAGTGTTCTGTCAGCGGTCCGGTGGCTCCCAATTCTGGCAATCCGTCATTCAGTTGTTGCCTGTTCTCCACATTGGGACCTCCATCTCGGTGGGATCGGGTACTGACAGCCTATTCTGGTTTGATAGGTGGGCTGGCGATACCCCACTCGCGGGCCGCTTCCAGGACATGTTCTCCATTGTAGTGGACCCTCGGGTCTCTGTTGAGACGACCCTTATTGACTTAGGGCGTCTCGCATTTCGGCGTACTTTTGGGCCCGCGGAAATAGCCGCATGGCATGAGCTCCTAGACGTCATTGCGCTCCACGAACCGGACCTAGAGACGACACACAACCGCTTATCATGGCGCCTAGAGCCCTCGGGCAGATTCTCCATGGAACCCCTTTATACTGCGCCATCGTGGCCATCCCGCCCCAGCCCCCCTGGAGGTGATTTGGGCGATCCGTCTCCCTCTGAAGATCAGAATCTTCTTGTGGCAATGAATCCGTGGGCGTATTCCCTCTGGCGTGGAGGTGTTAAAACGTAATGGTCCAGGTGACGGGCTTTGCCCTCTGTGTGGGACCGAGGAGGACTCTAATCACATCTTATTCTCATGTGCC